TTTATCTAAATTATATATTTAGGCTTTCAAAATTCGATTACACTTTTTTTTTCGAAATATTTAAATAAAAAAGAGTAAAAACAAACAAAATTAGAGATTAAAAATTAATCAAATATGAGTGAGACCCCAAGCATATAATTTTTTTATATCCAAAATAAAAATAAAAGTTGGATTTTAAACAAGAAAAAGAAAAAAGCAAAAATAATGTTCCTTATTTTCAGAGGAATCTCAGTCCCTCATAATAAATAAATAAATAAAATAAAATAAAAGAAATAAAAGAAATCAATGAAGCAAGGATCCATTTAATATTATTACTTAAAATAATTATTTTATTGAAATTTAAATAGAAACACTTGCAATAAAGTTTTATTCTTCTTATTATTATTGGTCTGAAAATAATGACCCACATGACCCATGTGTGATAAAGGTTCATGTGGTCAGGTCCTTCACCTTTTGTAAGAGCCCCAAAGCCCTAAAGCGACACCCTTTAATTTTAAGTTCATTTATTATTTTCCTCTATTCTTTCCAATTTTGTCCCTTCAAATTCTAAATCACTTCATATAATTTGGTCATTTTCTTAACAATAAATCATTTCCTAATTAGTTTTATTTTTAATAAAAAGAATAACCACCGTCACCAATAGAATCGCCCACTAGGTTCATTTGTGGATATTAAGTCGAATATACAAATAAATTATACTATCATGGTGCATGCTCTGTGTCACCTTCGTACTTGCTCTAGACGTGTTGTCTATGTCACATGCCGAATGTCTCAGTCATGCTTGTCCATGACCACATTCCCGTTCCGAACCCTTTTTACATGTTTTTACTATTTTATGTTGTGTCAATACGAAGATATATATCACTTTTCACTAAAATCATGTCTATATCCATCATGGTTAAAATGTTACAAAATATACTATAAAGAAAATATGACTAGTCGTTACTTTTTACTATTTTATGAGGCTCAAACTTACGTCGACGTTATCGATAAAATCTGAATTTCTCAGACATGTTCGTTGGATTAGAATAAGTGCTACATAATTATTGTTGATTGTGACCCTACTTATTGATTAAGAAACAAGGGAGCTTCTCCATCACAACCCTAAAAAAACAAAGCAATAATTAGAAAAAGAGAAAATTGGTGAGAATGTATTAAGTATAATGACATGAAACTTTCTCTCTCCCCCTCTTTCCCTCTCTCTCTCTAAAAACCCATCAAAGCTTTTACAAACCCATCAATGGTGTTTCCCTCTCACCCATCTAATTATCTTGATCCAACAACCCATCAATGGCAACACCAAACCCCAACCCATCAATCTGGGACCAGTTTTCAGCTGGTGTCGCCGCCACGGGCGCCGCCACAAGTCCGCCCCGAGTCGATGGTGGATCGTGCCCGAATGGCGAACCTGCCGGTGCCGGAGACAGCCCTGAAATGTCCAAGATGTGAATCAACTAACACAAAGTTTTGTTATTTCAACAACTATAGCCTCTCTCAGCCACGCCACTTTTGCAAGACCTGCCGTCGCTACTGGACCCGAGGTGGCGCCCTTAGAAGTGTCCCCGTCGGCGGCGGCTACCGCCGGAATAATAAAAGAACCAAAAGTACCTCTAAATCTCCGGTTAACTCACAATGCCAACCGACTACTACTACGGGTACTTTCTTATACGAACTCATGATATGTTCAATTATTATTTAGATCTAAAAAGTTACCGACTTTAATTATTGAATATTTTTATTTTTCAATAATATGTGGAGACGAAGGTTCGAAAATTTAATATTTTGGTCGAGATTATTATAATTTCACGAGTAAATTAAATTAAAAAAAATTACATCAAATTTCAGAGCTTTCAGGAGGAGAAACAATGAGATTAAATTACATACAAAATGAAGGAGTTATGAATTCAACTCATCCCCCCATTGGGATAACAAGCTTCTTAGGGTTTGATCAAATTCAATGGCGGCCACAGCTTCAGCTACACCGAGCGCAGCCAGCTCGGTTGCTCGGAAACGGTGGTGGTGGCGACGATGCATCGTCGAGCTATAGCATTGTCGGGAAGATGGAAGCCGAAGATGGAGAACATCATGTGAATGTGGGAAAGCCATTTTGGGATCGCCATTATTGGAATGCTTTTAATCCTTCATCTTCTTCTTCCCATTCACAAGTATGAGGGTTTGATGATCTTCATCATTTTTCTTTCATTAACAACTTTCGATGTTTATTTTTTCTTCGTAAATTAGGGTTTCATGCTGAAGAACTCTTTTGGGTCGTTTTTAAATGTGAAGAGAGTGCTTCGATTTATGTATTCGATTGTGTTTTTCGTAAAGTTTAAGCTTTAGATTTAACATATCCGCTCGTAAAAAATCTCGAGCCTGATCTCTCGTGAGGAGACGAAGATGTTATAGATTCATAATATTATTGTTTTTTTCGTATTTAATTTATGAGTGTTTTAGAAAATTATAAATGAAAACAATTTTTATAAATTTTAGATATATCTAAAAGAAAATAAAAAAATTAAGCCTAAAGATATAAATAATAAATGAAAATAATTGTAATAAGACACTTTTTTAATCCTTTTTATGACTAACGCACTGGTTTGAAACGAGGAAGATAATCAAAGTTTTACTTTTACCTCCAAACTGATTGGAAATAAAGTTCTAATTTGGTCGTATTTTTCAAGAAAAACAGTAAATTAATAATAATTACTGTTTTTTTTTCTCTTCTGGTTAATCTAGAAAAGTTTAATGGCTTATACCCTACATAATTACTTAATCATGACTGAATTATTAAAAACATAAAAACAGACTTAAAAATTTATGTTTTATTTAAAAAATATATATAAACTTTTAAAAATTTTTTTTTTTAAAAAATAAGGTGACTATTAATTCGGATAAAAATAGTTAATACTTTGTTTAAAAAATAACTTTAAATTTTTAATAATGTTTTAAAAAAAATTTACTTATTGAAACTTTGAAAAATTTAAGAGTATTTTTAAGATAAAATATAGAATAACTTTCCTAATATATTTGGTGTGATATAGGTTTCAAAATGTTGAAAATTATTGAGAGTGAGTCCCACATTGATTAATTTAGTGGAAGATCACGAGTTTATAAGTGAGAAATAGTATCTCCATTTGAATAAGACATTTTGAGAAGTTCAAAGCAATATGATACAATTGTGGAGAGATTTGATTTCTAACAAGGTATGTGCAGATTTGCACAAAACTTTTAATAGTGGTTAATAAATTTCTAAAATTTTCAATTTCGTGTCTAACAAATTCTTGACTTATTTCTTTTAAACTCAACCATCTATTACTTCTTTATCTTTTGAGTTGTTTTGTCGTACAAGGCCTTTGGTCTCTATCCGGACAAGATAAAAAAAATGAGATCACTTCATATGGACTCGTTGAGAATGTTTTTGTTCTAATTTATGATCTATTAAAGGTAGAAGACGTTCTATTGGTATCCTCACGAATAGAGAAAGATTACCGTGGATTTGATAATAATCGAGTGACATTGATTTTTGGAAGGAAACGGAGAAAAGATATGAAAAGTTAAAAAATTTGAAGAAAAGAAAAGTAATTTTGCATTGATGTGATTTGTAGTAAATAAATGGGTAACATAAAGGCCTAAAGTTTGTCAGGTTGAGTAAGACCAAAAGCATTCAAAAGTGATAATCTTTAAAAAGCCACTGATTTTGGGCAAAAAACAGTGCACCAAAATCTTATCTTTTTTATTTTATTTTTGGGTTCAGTGCTTCAATTAAAACTGTTTTATCATTCCAAATTTCATTAACATATAAACGTCATCTTTGCTTCAACCAAAAGTTTATTATTATTTCATCCACTTACTAATAATTAGACTAAGTCATAAAAATCCTCATAAACTTTATTGTTGAGCAAAAAATTAACACAACGTTGACTTTAAAATAACATCGTGGTGATAAGTCTTAAATTTTTATCCTAAATTCTAACAATTTTCTACCAAAAATACTTTTGAAACGTTCATGAAAGATCAATAGTAATACTGCAAATTCTAAAAAGTACCATTAATTTAAAGAAGTATTTTTTTTATAATAGTCTAAATATTATTAATATAAAGTTAATATAAAAATATCTATTAAAATTAAAGAAAGTAGAATAGAATAAGACTTGAAATACTCTAATCAAACTAATATTCAAGCATAAATCTTGAAACAAGATGTGTAATTAGGTTGGAAATAGATTATCACAAAGTTAAGAAATTAAATTTATAATTTATCTTTATTTATTTTAATAAAAATAAATAAAATAAACTAAGTTATGGAGAAGTTAAGAGATTTAAAAAAATAAGTTAAATTAGGTGGGTAGTAAAAAATGGGAAACCTAGGAAGGTGGTCGGTCAAAAGAGGGACTTTGGGTGCGATTGGGAAGAGAATGTCGGAGGCTTTTGGCGGATATCGACGCGCCATAGTGGGCTGCGCTTTACACGCATCACGAAAAGACAAAGCTTTCTTTTGTCAGTATCTCGACTTTTTTTTTTTTTTTTTTTTTTTTTTTTTTTTTTTTTAATTTTCATCACTGTGGCCCACATCTCATCAGCCCCACGCTCCATCCCACTGATCTGATCGCAACCTACACGAGCATATTTCTCTCCTTCTTTCTTCTTTCCTAGTTACTCTCAAACATGTCCATGTCTGTAACAGTCAAAGTCCACGGTCAGTAAGTATTATGCGTTTTAGTCCATTATATATCGTTATCGTTTAAAATGTATCTACTAAGAAGAGTTTCTCCACTTATATCAGGAATGCTTCGTTTTCTTCTCTAACCAATGTAGAAACTCACAATCCACTTCCTTAGGATGCCAGCGTCCTCGCTGACACATTGCACGATGTCTGGCTCTAATACCATTTGTAACAGCCCAAGTCTACCGCTAGTCAATAACGTTCTTTTTGAACTTTCCCTTTTGAGCTTTCCCTCCAAGATTTTAAAACGCATCTACTAAGAAGAAGTTTCTACACCTATATAAAGAATATTTCATTTCACTCTGCGTGGAATGTCACAATGTCTTTAACTGAGTAATGGTAATGGAAGCTACCTTTCTAACTCTACCCACTATTCCTTGCTTTAAAGATTCCAGCCATTTCCTGCATGAAAATGGATGCAAGACAACAGCTAAAGTCGATACATACCGAGTTACTGAAGTCGGTTGTTAAACATGGAAGGACTGAAGTTTTTGCTACCGCGTGCATCATTACTGATTGTTGAAACAAAAATCAGTCTTTAAACTACATATCAAAATCCTATTTGTGATTGTGATTCCACAAGCAGACCTAAACCAGCTGATAGAACTCTTCAGGAAAAAGGGTGTCAATGAACTAAATCAGCAGCTGAAAGGAAGATGTAATTTACTTGGTATCGGTGAGCCGACCGAGAGAACTCCATCTTTGATAGAATCATTCCATGCCTTCAATGGCACTAGCAAGAATCAAGTCTGTAGATCAAAACAAATAGACGAGTGAAGTTAGGGACAATGAAACATAGTAGTATTGCAATTGAGTCCCAGAAGTAAAAAAAACAGGAACGGTGAGTATCCCACATTGGTTGGGGAGGAGAACGAAATATCGTTTATAAGGGTGTGGAAACCTTTCCTTAGGAGACGCGTTTTAAAAACCTAGAAGAGAAGTCCGAAAGGGAAAGCTCAAATAGGACAATATTAGCTAGAGGTGGACTTGGGCCGTTACAGGAACACTGCCAGACTAGAACCAGAAATGTATAAGAAGCATTCTATTCATTAACAAAGCAGTAAGCAAAAAGGAGGAAGGATAGGATAGGATACTCTCCTCATAAAAGTTGCCGCAGACACTTGAAAATGAATCTAAAGATGAGTAATTACAAAAGAATTGGCATAGGAACCAGAAACTAATTCAGAACCCAAAAACATCATAAGTTCCTCAATTTCTCATCCCACTCATGGATCAATCTTCAAATGTAAGGGTTAATTTCCAACCATCATATCCAATCCATAACCATCATCCACAGAGTAAAACCTTCTTTCTAACACCACCAAAAAGATTTGTTATAACGGGTCAAACTCACTACTGGTAGATATCGTCCTTAAGTTTTTTCCTTCCAAGCTTGCTTCCCCTCAACGTTTTTAAAATGCGTCTGTTAAGAAGAGATTATAGATTTTTAAAACGCGTATGTGAGATCCCACATTGGTTAGAGAGGGGATGAAACACTCTTTATACGGGTGTGGAAACCTCTTCCTAGCAGATGCGTTTTAAAAAATCTTGAGAGGAAGTCTGAAAGGGAAAGCTCAAAGAAGACAATATCTGCTAGCAGTAGACTTGAGCTAACAAGAGATCTTGAAAAAACAAAATCGAAAGACCTCCAGATTTTCTCCCGAGGTTAGAGGCATCCTTGAATGGTTTCTTGTTTTACACTGATCATTGTTAACTTAATTTATTTGCAAGAGATGCAATTTCAGGTGGAATTATATTTTCAAACTTTATGATGTTTGCAATTAAATGAATCTCATTAGTCATCTCAAGAAATACATACTGAGATGAAAACTCTAAAGGAAAAAATAGGGTCTCTAAATACAATATAGCTAATGGTTTTGAAGCTAAGGAAACATTCTTAAAGGTTAGTAAGCAATACAATCAAATAAGCAATCTCTGGAATAATGAACACATTGAAACCACCATGAAGTCAATAACATTCAATGAGTTCATTATTCCAGATCTTCCAATCCTCTTCTCTCCTATTCATCCAAACTACTATATATATGTGTGTGTGTGAGTAAGAACAAGCTATCAGATTCTGATCAGAAAAAAAGAAGCTCATTAGAAGATGAAGCAAACCTCTAAAGTCTGAAACACGACTGATCCAGAAAATGAGACACTCCGTTATGCACCGGATTCTGATGAGATTAACGTGAAGCGAAGCTCTGAAGTCCGAAATCAATTTGGCTCGCCTCTGGAGAGTAGAAATCAGGAGATTTTTTACGGAAGAGCGCTTTCGTGAGAGAGGCCGGGAGAAGGGCTCAGTCGTGCGCATTACTGCTCGGCTCACACTGCATTTTGGGCTTGGGCTGCTCTGCCTAAGATTTTGGACCTTCAATTTTCACTAAATAACACTTTAGTTTAATAAAATTTAAGATTTATTATATTTAGTTTACTAAAGATTTATAAATTGTAGTACTAAAATTGCTGAGATTAGAGGTTTTTTTATATTAGAAAGGGTAGCTCGAATATTTTGTCATCACAAGTATAGTTCAACGATAATTGACATATACACTTGTGAGATCCCATATTAATTGGAGAGGAGAACGAATTATTCCTTATAAGGGTATGAAAAACCTTTATCTTATAGACACGTTTTAAAACTGTGAGGATGACAACAATATGTAACAGGTTAAAGCGAACAATATCTACTAACGCTTAGTGGGCTTGGGCTGTTACAAATGTCATCAGAGCCAGTCACTGGGTTATGTGACAACAAGTACGTTGGGCCCCCAAGAGGAGTAGATTGTGAAATCCCACATCGGTTGGAGAGGAGAATGAAAACATTTCTTATAAGAGTGTGGGAAACCTCTTATAGTAGACGTTGGGCCCTCCAAGGGGAGTGAACTAAGAGTGGATTGTGAGACCTCTCCCTAGTAGATGTTGAGCCCTCTAGAGGAGTGTATTGTGCCACATCGGTTGAAAACCTCTCCCCAATAAATACTAGGGCTTGCAGAGGAAGTGGATTGTGAGATCCCACACCAACACAAAAATTTGTTCATAGCGTATTTGGTTAGACCATACACCAACACAAAGCTTGGCTCGAAAAATAATATCTATTAAAATTTTAAGAAATGAATGAGTATTATATGCATTTGAAAACTTGTCGCCGTAAAAGTTTGAGGTCACCAACCGATCCATCCAGTAATGGACTTAAAATCTGTGTTCTTTTTGCTTCAATAAAATAACCAAAAGAAACAGCACTCGTATTCATGGCGGAAGGGGTCAAATTCCGCGATCGATAGTCATAAATTTCACACAAAAGGGTCAAGCCAAGCAGTCGAAGAAGGCCCACTCCCCACGATTTTCTTCCGAAGAAATTTCCCTTTCACAATCAGCGTTTAGCAGCAGCAACAACGCCCAATCCACCAGCAAAACGACTCCGGCAAACCACCACACGTGGTGGCGCGTGAATCAGTTGCTGGGCACATCTCCATGTGCTGACGGCTGAATCCGGCCGGGAGGTGATGGGTCAGGGCCCGAGCTGCGGCGAACGCTTTGAAAATGGCCTGTTCCGAGCTGTGCAGAATGGGGATTTGGAGCTCGTTGATGCTATGGTAAGGACCGATCCAACTGTCTTGGAACAGACCACTCCTCGTATGAAGATGTCTGCTCTGCACATCGCAGCTGCTTATGGTCAGATCGAGGTGGTTCGCGATTCTTACCGTTTTTTTTTTCTTGTTTGGTGAATCACGAACATTTGTATCTGATGGGGTTTTGCTGTCTAATCAGATTCTTTCTATGCTCTTAGAACGGTGTGTGAATCCTGATGTTTTGAATTGCAATAAACAGGTAATGATTTCATGTGTACTTCTTGTTTTGGTTTTCCAATGAATCAATTTGCGCTCTCATCACTGAAATTGGATATAATCTTTGAACATGTTCTTGATTTGGATTACGATTGAGCTAGACCCCATTAATGCTGGCTACAATGAATGGGAAGATATCATGTGTGCAGAGACTTATTGAAGCAGGAGCAAACGTTTGTGTCCCAATTTGTATGATTTATTGAATGTTCTTGGTGTATGCTTAATTCAATTACAAAGTAATCATTAACAATGTGTTGTTTTTATGATCTCAATAGATTCTGATGTTTGATTCTCTAAACCGACGAACCTGCCTGCATTATGCTGCTTATTATGGTCACTCAGATTGCTTAGAAGCTATAATTTCAGCTGCTCATTCAGATCCAGTAGCAGCCACTTGGTCAGTTTCTCATTGCCTCAGATCTTGATCTTCTGTATTTTGATGGTTTACTTACCTTGAAGTCGATGTCGTTGGCAGGGGATTTCTCAGATACGTGAACATTCGAGATGGAGGTGGTGCTACGCCATTGCATATAGCTGCACGACGTAGACAGCCACGGTGCGCTCAGATCCTTTTGGCGAATGGCGCTCTTGTTTGTGCTTTAACTTGTGGTTATGGGTATATATCTAAGCAGATTGTGATGTAGATTGTATTTGTATTTGTATTAGCTCATGTTTCATTAAAATCAAGAGAGGTACATTGATTTGCTGCAGCTATCCGGGGAGTTCGCCTCTTCATCTGGCTGCTCGGAGTGGTTCTTTAGAATGTGTTCGGGAATTGCTCGCGGGGGGAGCAGAAAGATTACAAGTGGATGCAGCTGGGTAAGGTTTAGCAAGTTCTATGAATTGCTCAATCTTTTTTTGCAGCTATACTGTGACGTTGACCTGCCTATTTGTTAATTTGTATCCCTCATTTGTTGAGCTCTTTTTCCAAGTTCTAAGGCGTTCGACTCATGGGTTAGGCTTGTATAGTTTGACATTGTGAAACTTAAGCCTTCACTAGTAAGTGAGTAAAAAGTTCAAACCATCGGAGCCGATAATCTATATCAGCCCAAGTCCATTGCTAATAGATATTGTCTGCTTTGGCCCGTTACGTTTTGCCGTCAACCTCACGGTTTTAAAACGTGTCTAGTAGGGAGAGGTTTCCACACATTTATAAGGAATGATTCGTTCCCCTCTTCAACCAATGTAGGATCTCACAATCCACCCCCCTTAGGGGCCCAATGTCCTCGTTAGCACACTGTCTGGTGCTTGGCTCTGATGCCATTTATAATAGCTCAAGCCCACCACTAATAGATATTGTCTACTTTGGTCCGTTACGTATTGTTGTTAGCCTCACGGTTTTAAAATATGTCTAATAGGGAGAGGTTTCCACACTCTTATAAGGAATGTTTTGTTTCCCACTCCGACCAATGTGAGATCTCACAATCCACCTCCTTGGGGGCCAGTGTCCTTGCTGGCACACCACCCAGTGTCTGGCTCTGATACCATTTGTAACAATCCATGCCCACCGCTAACAGATATTGTCCGCTTTGACCTGTTATGTATCACAATCAGCCTCAAGGTTTTAAAACGCGTTTACTAGGAAGAGGTTTCCACACCCTTATAACGTCCTCCTCTCCAACCGATGCAGTCTCACACAATCCCATAATCTACACAAATCCAAACTACAAAAAAACTCAAACTTCTAAAGCCCACAACTTTGGCTACACACTTTGATACCTCGATTCATCCGAAAACTTCAAGAGATTTTTCATTATGAAGAAGAATCTACTTGGTTTGAAATCATGAACTTGTGAATCAAATGATTATAAATACTCAATAACCTTAACCTTCTAGGACAACAGCATCCTGGCAAGTTGCTGCTCACATTCAGTCACAATTTCTTTGAAAATTTAACTGTCAATGCTTGATTGCAGGAGAATACCCTACACGGTCGCTATGAAGCGCAAGAATCGGGCATGCGCTGCCTTGCTGAATCCTTCAGCAGCAGAACCTCTTGTTTGGCCATCAAAACTGAAGTTCATCAATGAGCTAAATCAAGAAGCAAAAGCTCTGTTAGAGAGAGCCTTGGTGGAAGCAAACATGGAGAGAGAGAAGGCCATATTGCAGCAGATTTCCTGCTCACCTCCATCTCCTTTACAATCTGATGTTGAGTTGGATGATGCAGAATCCGAGGTAATATCGATCTTAGCTATATTATATTTAGGCCAGGTAATATCCATATACCCGAAAACACGAAAAACACAGAACGAAACATTGTTATGCTATAGTTGACTAAACTATAGCACGATGTAAAGATATGATATTGTTGTCTCAAACTGCACGCACTTCGATTCTTATATTCGCTTGTGGAAATTTCAAACAGGGATGCAATGTCGAGTTATGCTGCATATGCTTTGAACATGTCTGCACTTTAGAGGTCCATCCTTGTGGTCATCAAATGTGTGCGCCTTGCACCCTAGCTTTATGCTGTTACAAGAAGCCAAATATCTCGAGCAATAGTCCTACTGCCCCGCTTTGCCCTTTTTGTCGAGGCAGCATTACGCAACTACTCGTGGCCAAGATCAAGGTGACTGATAATGCAGAATCTGAGATTAGTTCATCAAAACAAAGGCGATCGAGAAAGTCGAATTTCAGTGAGGGGAGCAGTAGCTTCAAGAGCTTATCTGCTTTGGGGTCATTAGGGAAGATTGGTGCCCAAAGTACAGGAAGGTTTTCGGTTGAATGTGACGGGGAGGTCGATAAGAGTTTCTAAGTTGGCATCTTCAGCTCGGGATCTTGTTCGAGCTAAGCTGATTATCGAGTTGATATAAGAATCTTGGATATGGGAAGAACAGCAATGTTTATGTTCACTATATCTACAAAAATCTACTTGAATGCCTATGAAGCCCGAGACGCTTCGTAGGTGATCGAATCTATGGTCGTCATTTTGTTCGTAGGTCATGAATGCTTGTTTGAGTACTTATGTTCTTGAGTTCTAATAAGGCTTTGCTCATTGATTCAATCATAGCCACTTTTGAGAGGTAGATCTGATCATTTTTCCCTATTCATATAGAAAGGCATTAATCAACGGAGATTTAACTGCCATGATAATTAATCGAAGTTCTATAATATATCTACCATGATATATATATATATATATATTACATGTATTAAATGCTATATTTAGTAGTTGTCACATCATAATTATTAAAACATAAATAAATAAAATAAAGTTGTCGTGTCATGTGACATGTCAAAAAAGCGAAAATGTGGGAAATATTGTTCTTTATTCTACATTTTTTAATAATTAATCCCAACTACATTAGATATTTTGTTTAGAAAACAAAACTTAAACTAAATCACGTCATAAATGTTTTTTTTAAAAACACTTTTTGATCCTTTGATTATCCTAACTTTTAATAATTTTGCCCCAATTTAATCGTCGTGTAACAACTTAATATCTTTTAAAATGATTTGACTTTT